TGAATAATTTGGAGAAAGTTGACCCAGAATTATTATTTTTTTGAACTAATAAGTACTTGAGGCTTGAAACTTGTTTTTTCTAGTAACTACTGCTACAATACATGTGCTTTTTTGGGGCTGCTTTGCTTTTTTTTTTCCCTAGCATGGTACGTAATATAATGGATGAAAATAGAATACATTATTTGACTGTAATAAACATTTGCCACAGTATTTGTCAGTTTTTAGCCATGGCAATGAGACTGTATTTAGCAAACTGTGGGGTGACAGATACAGATTTTAGTGACTAGATTCACAAGCCATATAGTTAATTTTAATAGTTCTTTTCTATTTGAAATAGTTATTTTGTTACTGTATAATAATCGTAATTAGGTGAGAGAAGTGTGTGTAAATGAGAAAAAAAATCAAATTATGGAAAATCTACCTCTAAATATTTTGGGTGTTTCAATTTGTAAAGGCACTAGAACTGCTGACACCACCTGTTCCTGATAATGAGAATGCTCGAGTAAAAGCGTATGTGAGACGTGGAACAGCATTTTGTCAGCTGGAACTATATACTGAAGGTGAGATCTTGATTTTGTGAAAACATGCACATGGATTTATAGCGACATGCAAGTAATTCTATTTAGCTCAATGAGACTGCTTACACCTTTATTTTTTCATGAGGGACATTGTCATGGTTTAACCCCAGCCAGCAACTAAGCACCACGCAGCCGCTTGCTCACTCCCCCTGCCCCGGTGGGATGGGAGAGAGAACTGGAAGAGTAAGAGTGAGAAACACTCCTGGGTTGAGATAAGGACAGTTTAATAATTGAAATAAAATAAAGTAAAATAGTAATAATAATAACAATAATAGCAATAATAATATACAAAGCAAGTGACGCACAATGCAATTGCTCGCCACCTGCTGACCAATACCCAGACAGCTACCGAGCAGCAATCGCTGCCCCCCGATCAACCGCCCCCAGTTTCTATACTGAGCATGACACCATATGGTATGGAATAGCCCTTTGGTCAGTCTGGATCAACTGTCCTGGCTGTGCCCCCTCCCAGTTTCTTATGCACCTGGCAGAGCATGGGAAGCTGAAAAGTCCTTGACTAGCATAAGCAGTACTCAGCAACAACTAAAACATCAGTGTGTTATCAACATTCTTCTCATCCTAAATCCAAAACACAGCACTATGCCAGCTACTAGGAGGAAAATTAACTTTACCCCAGCTGAAACCAGGACAGACGTTAAAGGAGGCCTATACAATCTATGTCTTTTTTTGTTAAGAAGCTTTATACCATATTCCTTAATTTTTTTTTTTTTTTTTTTTTCAATTTACTGGCTAATTGCAATTCCGTGTGAAAAATCTTTACAAATTTGAAGAAAATTTATTGTACCTCCTAGTCTAAGGACTACAAATTAGTTTTTCCTTTGAGGAAAAGGTTTTAGCGAGTTGTGTATCCTCTGTTTGGTCTATTGGGTAATCAGTCTTTCTGTGCGTAGTGTCTGGCTATTGACCGCACCAGCTTGGTGGCCATGGAAGGTATTAGCGAGGAACAAATGAGAGGTCAGAGATGAGGTATTTGCATTGGGGAGCATTCAAATGTAGCCTGCAAACTGACATGAAACTAGGTTGCACTAGTTTTGTACTTCATGAAGCAATGTTTTATTGGTTTTGAGATAGAGTATTTCCAACTATAGAACAAAATAACTTAAAATAACCTGAAATATTTCTAAAATATTTGCTTATGAAGTGGTTAGTAACATATCTTTGCAAAATGATGTATGAAACCCATATCGGTGAGAAAAATGTTTCATCAAGTATGTGTGATTTGTGTGAAAATACCAGAATTAACAGTGTTCCTACAGAGTTCTCTGAGAGTATCAGTTTAGTTTTGTAAGGCAAATTTACAAGGGAAAGTCGATAATAGAAAGTGAAGAATATTCAAAATGTCAGTGTTGAAATACTAAGCTTTTCACATTGGTTACTTTTTTTCTACCTATGAATCCCTTTGTTATTCCCTTACAGCTTCATTTGTACTTGAAAACCTTATAAAAAAGACAATAAAATAAGATTTTATTTTACTTCCTGTACTTATGGTTTGCCTTTCCCCCCCCCCAAGCTCTAGTATTCACAGTTTATGTCTTTTTTTTTTTTCTTGTTTTCATGCAGTTTCATTCTGTCATTCACTTGTCCTCTCTTCTGCAGAACACTTTTGAACACTCCCCTCACATGTGTGCGCATATATATATGTGCATATATGTATGGGGAGGCTCTGTTTTCATGTTTTGATACTTGAAGATGTTTATGTAGTAGAGTGTTTCCGCTAAATGTTTTGTAAAACAATAAAACCAAAATACAAATTTATTTACTGACAAAAGTTAAACCTAATGTCATTCTGATTGCATCTTGTCCAATAGCAAAACTCAAGATCAATACTTTATGCATATGACTAGGGAGCAGTTATTTCCAGTTAGTTGCTAAAGAGGATGCTCTTGCATTATTGATTGATATTCTTATTAATGTATCTATATTAGGTCTCCAGGATTATGAAGCAGCTCTCAAGATTGATCCTAAAAATAAAACTATAGAAAAAGATGCAGAGAAGATTCGACACCTAATTCAAGGAACAACACAAGATTTTTAACAAAAAAAAAAAAAAAAGAACTTTTTGAGAGGGATGCCTTTTGAGGGCATCAGAAGGAATCTTGATTCCCTTCAATATGTTGTTAACTAGATGTTTTTCTGTTTCACTCAGAACACCTTAATTGGTAGTTGATTGGATGAAATTGGTAAAAGATTGGATGTATGAAATACTTGGTAAAAGATTGGATATATGAAATTGGTAAAAGAATTAGGAAAAGATTGGATATATGAAATACTATTTTTGGAAAGTATAGTATTATAACACATATGATTAGATATATTTTATATAATTTTGATACAAAGTTGTAATTTTTGCTTTCTGTGAAATATTGGTGGGCCGAATATTAAAACATACTTTTGGTACTTGATATAAAGTTACTCCTAACTAAATGAAATATTTGTCTGGATATATCTACTGAATCTAGACAATGGGTTTTCAAACAACTTCAGTAGCTCCATATAGTCAACACCAGTTAACTCCTTATCTTTCTGTTCTCCACCAAAGCTGAAATGGTTATGTGTTATATGGTTATGGTTATATGCTTTCCTCTTTTCTTATTGTTCATAGCGTTTGGCATGTCTGAAACTAAGGCAGTGAATTTAGATACTCTAATTCAGGCATCCAATTTGGAAAACCTCCACCTGGATGCATAGAGGTAGATTTTATGTCATGCAGAACATTCTTTTTAACATCACGTAATGTACATTGAATATTTTCAGACTGTTTTGAAACATTTGTTTGGGCTGAACAAACAAGGTAATTGGAAAAATTATAAACCTGTAGGGTGGTATTGTAGTGTAGTGGTAAATTAATCCTGTGATAAATTGTCCTATCAATGAATATGACTTACTTCTTCCATCCTCCTACTAGTAATCTTACAGTGTAGCTGTAAAGCATATTCTAAATCAAAACCATTGTTATTTATATGAGAATACACATTTTTCTGGAGCTGGTATTTTAATTTGTACTCTGTTGACATGGAGCAGTATCTGAGGAATACTGGTGTGAATAAAGATTCTCAAAAAAGGGACCAAAGTTACAAGTGTTGTAAAATGACATGAAGCATGACACTGTGCTTTGAAGTCCTGCACCTGTTGTTTTGCATAGTGGAAGAAGGTAATATCGAATTGTATTGTTTATGTATGTATGTTAGCATTTGTATTACCATGGCAACCTGAAACACTGGACTTGAAGTGGTTCTGTTTTGTTAGACATTCTATCCAAATTGTGACCATTTCAACTGCACTCCTTTCAGTAGCATTTTTAGCAGACTTTTGAATTTTACACATCAGTCTGTTTCCTGAATACCATTTATGACTGATTTCTGTCTTCAGAAGAAAATATTTATTATGCAGATACATGTTATTCTGTGTAAATTTTATACTCTTGGAACAGGGAGGTGGCGGAAGGTGTTGCTTCCATTTGCTTTACTTAGAACCTTGAGAGGAGTGCTGAGGTGAGTCAGAAATGTCTGGAGTAGCTGCTGTTCCTTCTTTCCTACAGATACCTACTGCATTGCAATGGGAGGAGGTAAGAATGCTTTATTTATAGCAATTGGAAGGAGGGCAGCGCAGGAGCTTTAGTGCCTCAGTTGAGTGTGATGGTATACTTGCCAAAATATGGCTATTTTTCTGAGGGGAAGTGGGGGCTAAGGAGGAGAGACACTGGCAATGGGAGAAGAAAATGCAAAGAAGCAGACACTGGTTTAAGTTCCTCATTTTCTGTTTTGGTTCCAGAGCCTGTTAGAACAATCTGTATACATCTGTATAGGCTATTTGTATTGTAGTGATTTATTATAGCTATCTCAAGGCTATTTCTGATGTAGAGAGGCACCTTTTTCTACTGCTATGAAATAGAAACAGGGGCCCCTTTAAAGGTTAGGGAAGCAAATGTGCTTGGTGGCGTGAACAATATCTGCCTGTTTCATCTGGTTATATTGGGAGCAAATGGATGTCAAAGTTCTGACTTCAATACCTGAGCTGACGGTGTGTAGACCATACCAAAGTCATATACATTATGTTGGTATTACTGTCCTGAGATGTTGGAATGTGGAGACTGACTTTTAAGTTTTAAAACCAGAAAATACTTTAATTAAATAAACCTTGTCTCTTGCAATAAATAAGGTCTCTTGCACTTAACTCTTTCTGTAAAATTAGAGCTCCGCATTTATGATACTAGTTTTGAAAGTTTTATTTTTATGGGTTTAGGTCTGACTGAGAGAAATGTGTCATCAAATGGGCTACATCCTTTTCGATACATCTTATTCAACCCAGCAAAACCAAAATAAATAAGATATTGACAGTTATTCCCAGGATGACTGAAATAAGTCAGATTTGTTTTCTTAAAGCTAAGTGTCTAGTCTAAGTCTATGACAAAAAGATGGAGATGCATTTGTACAGAGTATGCTGTAAATTGGGGTAGTCATATACCCTATTTCTGTCAATGGCAGTGTTTAACTATCTTGAAATGACCCACAAGTGAGTGAGTGCTTTGAAAAGGTTTGATCGACTGGATAAGTACAGGGTGCCACCTGTGAGATAGGTGGTATAGCACTATATTCACCTGAAGTTGTTTTAAACAGTAGAACCTGAGGCTTTGTCAAAGAACCATTGGTCACGAGTGTTTTGGGGTCCAGCATACAGGAAAATGTATATACAGAAAAAAATCATACCAGATTGCCAGGATTTGTGTGGAGAGGCAGATGAGGAGATTGGTTTTGCTCAGTGTTCAGACTTGATGGCAGTTTCTTGGCAGAAGTCATCTTCTTTCCCTGCTAAGGAGACGGATTTTAATTCAGTCTTTCAAATAACAGGGCAAAGCATTGCAAATTTGTTAAATGTTTGTGGTCAGAGCAAATGTTGCTCAAGATGTGTAATGAAATACATGCATGGTGGAGAGTGAGGAACTTAACACTGCTGATTTTTGACCTTATTTAGTAAACTGTGGACAGTGATAAATGGACTCATGTTGACTATGAAGTATAGTAAAAATCGGAATTTGCATTGATTTCTGCATTAGTGATAATCTTCAGCATAGAAAATATCTTAATATGTGTGGCAGAAATAATTGGTATGGATAATAAAAATATTGAATGAGAGTAAGAATATAGTGAGGTTTTGTGGATGGTTTCTTTTGGTTTTGACTTTTCTTATATATAGAAACATGTATGCTAAAATAGAGCCCTAAACAAACCTCCAAATGACTGTACTTCCTTGCTCATGTTCACATGCATGCTTTTTTTTTTTCCCCTCTGTAGGGAGTGAATTAGCATATGACAGATACTTCTTAGCATGTTCATGGGAAGTGCTCTAATGCTGTATTGATGAGCATGTGGTAAAACTGCACAGAATAAGGTACCTCCCTTAGTTTTGCTGAGCAAGCTGTTCAAAACGTGCTGCTCTTCAGAGGTGCAATGAAATCTTTTTTCTTTGTTTCTCAATCACGTTAAGAGATGAAGAAAACATTTAAGTTGCTAGCTTAGATAAAACTCAAGGGAGAAATTCTGAATTTTCCTTTACTTCATTTATTAATTAGGCCTGTTGTTGTCTCCTGTTTATTTTTTGCACCAGTATTAGAGCACTGTTGGGGCCTAAATCTCTGGGCTTTGGGCACAGTACAACCAGAGTAGGTCCTACTGATGGGATGCGGCCCAGATGCGTGGTGGGTGTAGGAGCCCCGGTTGCAAGCGGCTGTCGGGAAAGAACAGCTTCTCCTGAAGCAGCACGGCCGCA